TGAAAAACATGGAAGGAGCATCAGTGATTTAACCCTTTAGTTTCCGAAGGGACATTTTCAGACCAGATATTTTACATTTTTAAGTTTCATACATAGTGGCATAGTATAGGAGATGATCTGGGTCATCAAAAGGAGAAGGAGACTGTTGATGATGTGTCACCTAGGTGAAATGGCTGCCAAGCTGCAGACCACCACAGACTACTCCTCTACAAACAGCAACACTGGCTGTTTTTTGGTCACACTTTGCAGTGTTTCCACTAGAGTTTGTGGCACCAAACCTGGGTGTCATCTTTACTAAAAGTAGGTGTTTTTAGTCTCACATTGTGATTATTCCAAGCAGCATTTGCCGCTCCAATCCGAAACTAGGTGTTTTTTAGGGACACTGACTCACTGTAGTATTTCCCCTTGTTGTTTGAGCCACTGATCACACATTGGGTCTGTCCCAAGTCTCTTATTTTTATAGTGCTGCTGCTAGCTCCTCGCTTGAACCGGAAGTCGTTGAGGTCCGCCATCTTCTAGGCCGTCCCAAGTCTCTTATTTGTGCAGCGAGGAGCTAGCACTAGGAGCTAGCAGCAAGCTTTAAGCAGCTACGAGCTAGGATGGTCGAGAGCTTCCTATCTGGAAGAGTTTTTCAGCTGAATGCCATGACATATAAATACCCGCCCTCTACATCTGGCTCATTTGAATGAGATGGCGGAGAAACAGTACAAGAGTAAGTACCCGTTACATGCATTCTTTGCAATGAATTGCTGTAATTCACATACCTGCTTCAAAGAGTAATGATATTTCATGCAAGATTGTTATGTTGCAATTACGTTAATTTCAGTCACATCCCATTGCGTTGTTCATCGGACTGTTGGTGATGTGCGGCTGCTACATGCAAAAGTGTGTGACCAGAGTCATGACGGCGGGGGGTGGGGGCTACTGTTTTGGTCAGCGAATATAATGAGACTTGGGATGTACCCATAGTAACGCCAGACACTGGCTGCTTTACGGAGGTATCCATCTCAGCATAAGGTAGTAATATAATGTATGGTTTGCAGAAATGTACAATTCGAACATTTAAAAGACTGTAAGAAAGTGCGTTTCCCAGCGGTGTTGGAGCCACCGATCCTGGTTGTTTGTCACTGATCTGTCCCAGTTTTTCCCAGCAGCTTCTGTGCCACCAAACATGGATGTTTTAAGCCAAAACACGATCTTTTTCAATGCCTAACCAAGCCTTTAACACAGCATTGTCCAAACATGTCAAGTTTCAAGGTATCAACCACAAAATAAGGTAGTAATATAACATATCTGTGGTTTGCAGAAATGTATGATTCAAACATTTTTCAAAGACAGCGACACATTGTAATATTTCCCAGCGGCGTTTAAGCCACAGATCACACATTGTGCGTGTTTCCCAGCAGTGTTGGAGCCACCAATCCCGGTTGTTTCTCACTGATCTGTCCCTGTTTTTCCAGCAGCTTTTGTGACACCAAACACAGATGTTTTAAGCCAAAACGTGATCTTTTTCATCGCCTTACCAAACCTTCAACAAATATATTAATTTTCAATGTGTCTGCTAAAAAATAATGTAGTAATATAACGCATCTGTGGTTTGCAGAAACTTATACTCAAAAATCTTTTCTGGAATTTCTGTTGCTATTGAGCTATCCTACTAAAGAATAAGCTAAGAAGCAGACTGCACGAAAAAACAACTCTCAAGGAGTAATAATGGTCTTGTATTTCTTATTTTCATTTTGAATAAATTTTAAAACATGAAAGGAAGAAAGAAGCGTTTTTTAAAGAATAGGCAATACTTTGTGTTTTCTGCAGCTAACTGGGATTATATGTCTTGATTTATATAATAAAATGCATTTGAGATGTACTGGAAATCATGTTGATTTATGTATGTATGTGTGTAGAAAGTATAGTTTAAAAAACCTGGATGCAAGGTTCAAATACTAACCTTTTTTGAAGCTTTTAACCACATCTCAAACATCTCTCATCTGTGGTGTCATCTGTGCTATTTGTACATTTCCCACAACTGTACCAGAAGACTTGTCAAACTCTTTTACGCGTTACAATAGAGGTGTAGTTGTAGAATAGAGGAGTGGCAGGCTCTTATGCACAACAGTCATTTCAGCAGTTTAACATATGAATGGGACCCAGATAGGGAGTGCTTTTTTGATGATTGTCTGAGCAGATATACAGGAGAGCTTCGACTGAGTCACACACAATTACTTGCATCCTCTCAGCTAGCATCTGCTTGTGTATCAGGTGGTGCGACTCTGTTGGAGGGGCCTTGTTGATTTTCCCTGATGATTCGTACTCGAGATCAATATCTTCTCAGGTCCCCTTCAGTCCTCTTACTTTCCAGGGTTAATCGACGACAACGGAAAGCTCCGGGGATTTGTGGAGACCCTGCCTTCTAATCTTTTCACTTTGTGCAAGATAAAGCGAGGGCTGTTGACAAGATCTCGACTTAATTTGGTATAGAATATAAGTCGCTACGTTATCCTGGCCTGTGGACATGCCAGCATGGACCCACCGCAGGCAACTCGGCCCAGCAGAACTGTAGGACAAAGTGACATTTGAAAGCTCAAATCTTTTTTATTCAGACATTTCATAGTGTTTTCTCCATGTCAAGGAACACTACTTAATATGACGCCTTGAGGGTCTCTTCTGCTCTCAGTGTCAAAGTTTTGATATGAGGAGTCACTTTTTGAATATTCCAACAGCATTTCCATACACTGTTTAATAATTCACTTCAAATTATATGAAATGCGGCAGTGTTTGTAATATACATAACTAGGTTTAATCATATGCTGAATTTTGTTAAGCTGCCCGGGGCATTTCATTTAACATCATCATCTTACTGCATGTGCAGCAGTCACTTAAGACTTGCAAATATACTTCATGGATGGATGTTGACCTTGTTTTAAATTGCATATCATGGCGTAATCATTGAATTGTTTGATCTTTCAAAAAAGCCTTAGGAGACTGTACCACACGGCGAGGTTGCAGCTAATAAAGATCAAACACAGGCCTGATCATTTCATTTCAATATGAGTTATTCTTAGACCAATGGTTCCTTGACCAATGATCAAAGTGAAGAAAGGTTGTTACATTAGTTGAAAAAGAACAGGTGAAAAGTTCAAAATGCATATCAGTAAAAAGGTAATTTGTTTTCCATCTATTTCCGCTATTTATGTCATCCCCAACTGCCCTCACACAGCTCTTATCTGGAGTGTGTCGGGCACTGCGATGCCAACGTCCTGAAGAGGCTGTGGAGAAAACAAACAAAATCTGGACGCCTGAGGTTTGGGATGAGGCCAGATTTGACAAAGCAGTCGGCCATCGCACTCCCAACAATCCTGAAAACAATGAACACGCCGCAGTAGGCCCACCATCTGTTTGGGAGGAGGAATGCTGTTTGGCTCTCAGCGTGGTTAGTGAGACATAATATGAGCTGCTGTTATTTGCTAAATTCGAAATGCATTTTGTAAATTCAAATGCATTTTGGTCCTCATTTAGAGCAGTTTTGCTGACACAATCTTAGAATACAGTCCCGTCTAATGTAGCTTTTCTTCAGCTCATTAAAACAGTAAACCAGCAGTTGAGCACAAAAGAGCTTTTTGAGCTGTAAATATTGGTACAAGAGGTCTGGGAATTGTCTAATTTTTCTTGAGGTATTGGGGCTGCAACAAGTGATGTTTTTTTGTTTTTTTTTGTATGGATAAGTTTATTGATTTCTACAATAACCCAATGTCTTCAATTTGCTTGTTTTTGTCAATCCAACAGTTCAAAACCTATACATTTGCACAATGTGATCTCACCCCTACTTGTCATATCTTGATGTTTAGCCCCAGCATTACTACAATGATAACATGGCAGCCTTTTGTATTGTATCTTGACAGACGGGGTGGGTGGCTAGGTTTAGGCGACATAACTTGGGTATGATTAGGAAGGAAAGGTGGTGGTCTGTTGCTAAAAAACACCTGGTTTGACTGGCACAAAGATAGCTGGAAAGGCAGCAGTGTGTTGCTACAAAACCGTGTTTTAGTGGCACAAACATGGCTGGAAGGGTAGTTGTGTGTCACTACAAAACAAAGGCTTTGAGTGGCTTTAACATAGCTGGAGAGACGGAGGTGTGTCGCTATGAAGCATGGCTTTGAGTGGCTCAAACATGACTGGAAAGACAATGGTGTGTCGCCACCAAACACTTGTCCTTGAGTGGCTCAAATGGGGATGGAAAGGCAGTGGTGTCATTACAAAACCTCAAGCCGTAAGAGGCCCAAACATGGCTGGAAAGGCAGCAGTGTGTTGCTACAAAACAGTGTTTTAGTGGCACAAACGCAGCTGGAAAGGTAGTAGTGTGTCACTACAAAACAAAGGCTTTTAGCAGCTTAAACATGGCTGGAAAGACAATGGTGTGTCGCCACCAAACACCTGTCCTTGAGTGGCACAAACGCGGCTGGAAAGGCGGCCGTGTGTAGCTACCAAACACCCTGCTGTGAGGGGCTCGAATGTGGCAGGAAGGCGGCGGTGTGTCACTACAAAACACTCAGCTTTAAGTGGCACAAATGCAGCTGTAAGGCAGTGTTGCTATTAAACACTTCTCTTTGAGTGGCACAAATGCAGCTAGAAAGGTGATGGTGTGTTTGCTGGTCTTGAACACCAGTCTCCTTGGCCAAAGTCCAGTGTTTGTTGGGCCTATTCACCTCCCCTTCTAACCACCCTAAGCGGACTTTCACACTGTTTTAAACTACGTCCGTTGCTCTGAGAGTCCAGTCATGAGTTGATGGAAAGCCCAGCGTGTCACAAAGAGAGATTAAACAGGAACCTGGCATCACTATCATGACGCCAGAGGCATTATTCAGACAGCAAATTTTGATGCCCTGGGAGTGAGAAGGTGATTTGCAGTGCTATAAAAGACAAAAGCAGCAATCCTCACATTTAAAAAGCCAGAGTCCATGTCCTCTGACATGCTGAAAAATACCACACAATATCAAAAGCTCTACGAAATAAGAACTTTTATTCATAATATATTCATACTTGTACACAAGTAAAATAAAATGCATATCTATGGTTCCATTGCAATCTCCATAAACAAATCGACAGCATTCTTTTGGTAAATGCTACCCATAAACCCTTTCTTTCATGAAAATAGAACTAAAATCGGGGGAGGTAAAACATTTGTTTTTAGAAACATAAAAAAAACATAACATTACCCAACAAATGCATCACTTTGAATAAATAATGGGGGGGAGATCGTTTATCCTCATTAAACGGACCCAACATTCTTAGTGTGCGCTCTGTCTCTGATTTCCTGTTTGTTTTTTTGTTTTGTTTTGTTTTTTTTCGTCTTCCGGTGGTCTGTCTAAGCAGTAAAAGCTTTTGAGAGGGAAAGAGGGAGGAAGTCTCCGAAGTGTAGCTTAGACACAGTACAGTTAAGTACATAGAGAACAAACAATTTTGGGCACCAATTCATTATATACATTAGATCTGTAGTGTTCTGTAAAGGCATCCATTTTGTTAAATGTACTCTAACATCTTCATCATTGTTTGTCCTCGCCCACGCTGGGTCAACGCGACTCCTCGCTTTTCAGTCACTGTCTGTTGTAGATGTCACTGCATCTTCTGTTATCATTGTCATGAGCATCAACAATCTTGAGTCCTGTTTTTTCAGAGTGAGATCAGGAGTCCTAAGACATGGCTAGAGATATCCAGATCATGGGAATGAAGAGAAAGCGCAGCACTTGCAAATTTGAACCCCGGCCTTTGATGCAGTGGGCGTCTGATTTGGGCTTTTTGGAACACTTCTTTTTCTTTTTGTTTGACGCTGTAGATGATTCCAGATTGTCTATAAGGTCAGGGTTTAGGTTTTCCAGAGACTTGTCCAGGGTGTTGGACAACGTTCCCAGTGGTCCATCATTCTGCTTATTCTGGGTCTCGTTTTTCGTTCGTTCCGGCTCCTTATATTTAGTCTTAGACATGTTCTCCTTTTCCTTAAGGGGGTTGTTAGTGATTTGGCGGCTCTTGCCGGACAGGATGGAGGACTTGTCGTTATCTCCAAGGCAACACCTGGGAATGGTGTCACCAAGAGGATTTTCGGTGGAAGAGAATTTCCCAGACTGTCCCTTGGAGTTGAAGAGATTGGTCTGGATTTGAGGCGTTTCCACACACCCTTCCAAGTCTTCGCTTTTCAGTCGTGCCAGGTCCTTTCCTGCCAGGAACTCGGGAACATGGCACTCCAACTCAGAGCTGGAACCTTTGAAACGTTTGAACCACTCCCACAAGGTCCTCGCCCGGCAGTCACAGATCCACTGGTTCCCGTTTAAACGCAAATACTGGAGAGACACCAGTGCGTCCATGGTCTCCCCCGACAAGACAGTGAGATTATTGAAGAACAAGAACAAGGATTTCAGCTTCCCAAGATCACTAAAAGCCCTTGGCTGGACATAGATAACCCGGTTCTGGTGTAGCAGCAGCCGGTCCAGATTGATTAAGCCTCGAAACATGTTGTCTGTTACTATCTTGATCTTGTTATTGTGCAGATAGAGATAGGTGAGATTGGCAAGGTCCAGAAAGGTGTCGTCATGCAGGGTTAGAATGTTATTGTCCTGCAGGTAAAGGTACTGTAGGGAGAACATTCCTCGGAAAACCCCGACGGGGAGCTCTGACAGGCCACACCTGTGCAGGTGGAGGGTGTGCAGCTTAGTTAAGCCCCGGAAAGCTGTAGGGTTGATGGTGCGGAGGTTGCTGTTGTCTCCAATGTCCAGTTCCTCCAGTCTTTCCAAGCCATAAAAGGCTCCAGCCTCAATGTAGCTGATGTTGTTGGAGTAGAGCCAGAGAACAGTGAGATTGTGGCAAGAGCTGAAGCTGGTGGACCTCACCACCGTTAGTTTGTTGCTCTGGAGGAATATCCGCTGGCTCCGCACAGGGATCTCAGTAGGGATGGAAAACAGTCCTTGTTGTTGGCAGGCCACAGTGGGCCTGGGCTCACTGTAGCACACACACTTGGCAGGGCAGCTGACAGTTTGAGGCACAAGGTGCAGCCACATCACCAGGAACAGGAGTCGCCCCCCTACGGAGACAGAAAAAAAAGACGGAGGGTTAGAAAAAAACATGTATGTAAATATCAAAAGTCACAGTTCTAATATAGTTGCAGACATCTGTAGACACAGATGAATTCAGGTCAGGATGTAATATGCATAAACCCTTGAAAGAACACAGTACATTTTAATCAGACAACATAATTGGGAATCAGCCTGAAATAGACGTGCAGTTCTTGACTGAAAATACATTTTTAAAACACTGAGGATATATTGGCAATATTTAAAGACACCATTCATGCCATCAAATTAGATAACTGACAAAAGACAAAGCATTTTGTGTAACCTTCAGCACATTATCACAGAACAGGGAATCCTCAACACAACAGTGATTCAGCACGTATTCTACCAGTGATGTTATCTGGATCTGGGGACACATATTCTCCCTGCTGCCTCTGCTGACGTGAGGACCGAAACAGCTGTAGAGAGTCAAATGAAAGCTGGCTCATTCAAAATAGGGTGGGTGGCTTTTATGTGGAATTAGCTTGCTCTAATAGGGCGGACATAACTAATGGTGTTTCGGCGTTCCTGAGGTTGACATTTAGTCTGACGCTGGGAGATAAGCTTTCATGCCAAGCTAAGAGATTGATGCCTGGGGCCAAGGTGGAAAGAGCGCTACAGAGACCCTGCTAGAGTTTCCACTGTGCAGCCATGACTGAAGTATTTTTTCTGAGTGCAGCATGAAGATGAGATATACAGGAGGTGGGGTAGCACTCAGGGCGAAGCTTGTAAAGATCCTTGCATGTGTTTGCCCTGAAGGCATCCATGTTTAAAATAAGGCGTATTCCGCATTTGCTCGCATTAATTATTTCTGCTCGTCCTCTGCTGTGGATCATCTTGCTTCACAGTGCCACGGTGAGTGAAGGAGACTGGATTACCACATGGGAATGATCACTTCCGATATTACACAGTTGTAGGTACAGCTCTGGTGAAGAGTGAAGAATGAAGAGCATCCATTGGGGCTTGCACATTCCTTCATGTAGAGATGATGGTGTCAAAGTGTCTCAGGCATGTCTAGCAGCAGCACATAATGGCAGGTACTCCTCCAAATCTCTGAATCCTCTCAACTCCTGTCCTTACTGAGGATTTCCAATCTCTGCTCCCATGCACATGTGAGGAATCCCAGGCTTGCGGGCATGACAGGTAGCGAGGCTCTGGAAAATGCATGAGCCTTACTCAGCCCTCCCTCCGTCTGTCCCGCTCTCCCTCTTCTCATTCCCCTGCAATGTGTTGCGGTGCAGCTCATCTCTGGACCTTGTTAAACGGAGCTCTGGTGTGGCCTGACAGCAGCCCTCTGCTGCACTTTCCTTCCAATCTCCCTGCTCAGCCGTCAGACTGCCACCGGAAAGCTGTCAAGACTTTCCACTCTTTCTGCATCGCAGCACTTTTCCCTCAGCACTGCCTAACAATAGCCATATTTTATCGCACAGCACGCTTCGTGTATCTCCTCTGCCGTCTTCATTTTTTCCCCCCTCTGCTGTCTATTCATTAACAGGCTATTTCCACCCACGCGTTGCATGTCAAAGCCTGGTTTCCTCAGCTCTCGGCATAATATGTCTTGTCTTTGTTAGCATCTGTTGAATGACAGCATAAGCCCCACAATGTCATCAACTCCGTCCCAATTATTTTTTTGCTCACTCACAGCGTCTTCTCATCTGCACCGCTTTGATTGCATTACCAGATGTTGCAAACATATATCTGCTTGTCACGGCTCCCTGACATCTTTCTGCTATGTCTCTTACATTATCACATTGCTGAATAACCTCTGCATGACTTCACAGTTAAACTCTCACCTTCCACTCTAGAGATTTGTATCTATGTACAGCTGATGTTGTGAGGGCTGTGTTCACACCATTTATCGGTCAGCAATGTTGGTCTTTCCCCTTTTGTTTTCATCACTACTTTGTTGTCTCTGCTCCAAATCTAAATCGTAGGAGAGATTACATAAAAAGGAACTAGTGCTTTGCTGTTTCTCCTCACAGCTGTTGTTTACACAAACTTAAATATCTTAAAATACAGCAACAAGGTTGTGGGTGAAAAAAGAAAAAAAAAATCCATTCCTTATCGTCTTCTGCCAGCTTTGGTTTCAACACTTAATCTTCTCCTATCTGCTGTGTCAAAACATCGCTCCCAGCACCGCCTTCCTGTTCCAGACCCTGTCAGTGGCCTCTCTTCTGAGAGCTATATTATTGTACAGTACCAATCATCACTCTGTTTAAGAGCAGACAAGCCTCTTTGTTTCCTCCCGACTGACACTGTAGCCCCTTCAGCTTTGAGTAGAGTACATCACATCACCCCCTCCCTCTCCTCCAGGACAAGCACTTCTATTTACAATGGGAGCCTGACAATATATGGCAGGTTAAAGAATTGCGGGCGACCAGTATTCTGGGGTGATACAACTTCCCTGCTGGACTAATTGAATTGTCTGTCAAAACAAATTCTCCAAAATCTTGTAATCCCCCTGAGGACACTCTGGTTAGGACATCACATTGAGCTGATAATGGTCTTCTACCAAAAAAAGTTGGATATTGGGCTTTCAGTGTTCTTTGCTTGGATCAAAAAGGTGAAGATTTAACTCAGCCAGCTTCAGACGAAACAATGTAAAGGACCTGCAGTGAATAAACGAGGAGGCATGAGTTTTGTCCCATGGACAGAAACAAAGATTACATACTGAGAGAAAAAAAAATTGGGCATTAAGTAAAATAAATGGAGATAAGTAATATCAGCCGACCGCAAATTCAGTCTAAGGCAGCTTGAGGACATTACATCCCAGTGTTGTATTTCTAAGATCACCTACACTGGGACCAAGATCAAGACCAAGACCAAGGGAAGGCAAATCCTATGCTTATTATAAAATATAGAACATGCTAAAAATTCAATTTAACCATCTTTCAGTGAACTACAATGTATTACAACGTATAAGACATGAGCTCCCCTGAAAACATGATTTGTAAAATTTTTAGTAATCTCTAAAATATTGATGATGTGCTATTTTTTTGCCATCCATTTCTGTTTTTCCATATCTTCCTCGTAATATTAATCATGCATAAAATAAGGCTGTTATTGATGGCGTTCCCTCTGTTTTAAAGTGAAGGCCATAGAATGCTGTGGAGTTGACATTTGTTTGTAGGCTGACGCAGAAGTTAATGTCGCCCTGGTTCCCTCGTCAAAAAGCCAAAGGGATTTTCCCAGTGGATTTTGGATAAGCTCTGTGGCTAATAAAAGTTTATGACTGGCATGTTTTGTTCAACAAGATAATCCTAACAGATTAACACTTCTTTTGTGATTTTTAAAGAATAAATCCCAGAAGTAAAAAGTTAACATACGACTATAAACTAGCAACACCATGGACGCATGACTTCACTTCACCACCACAACAAGGCTGTATGGCTGTGTCAAGCGTCTGTAGTCTCATTTAGCCACCTGTTAGCAACACATTCTATAAGACACCTAAAGGCTTCACAGTTTAATAGTGGGGTATTAACTGCTGTATTTCATGTTGTTGAACAAAACGTTAAAGTCTCTTAAGCTTGTGTTACCACAGACCTTTTTTCGGGCATCTAACAAAACAAACAAAAAAAATCCATTGACCTCAACACAAGAGAACCACAAGTGCTAAAATGCTAACTCATTTCCAGGTTTTATTACTCATTCCTGCACCAGTGAACAGTTTTATTTACTGTTAGCACTGTGATGGGTGTTAATGAGGACCAGATCGTGGGTGGCTGTGGCTCAAAGGTAGAGCGAGTTGTCCACTAATTGGAAGATCAGCAGGCTCCTCCAGTCTGCATATCGAAGTATCCCTGGGCAAGATACTACATGAGATACCCAAAATTGCTCCCGATGGCCGTTCATCTGTGTTTACAACACTGAATTCTTACTGAGTAGCAGGTGGCAGCATGTGTGGTAGCCTCAGCCACCAGTGTGTGAAAGCGCTTTGAGTGGCTGGACTAGAACGACTAGGAAGACGCTATACAAGTGCATTTACCATGTATCCCTTGTAGGCAGCCTGGTCTATCTTTTTTCGTGTTTATGCTTATGTGTGTGTATGCATGAATGTGTTTTGCTGTTTGACCTTTCTGAGTCTTATTTTTGCCGATAAACTACAGGATAGAGTACATCAGTCTGCAAGGTATACTCTCCCTGCTTTAGTTGTCTATATTATCATACTGTGATGTTTGGTTTTTAGACTAGTGTGGAGGTTTGATGTGGTCATTAACTGATTATCATATATCAGATGTACTGACATAAAACCAGCAGGCGTACATGCTTGCAGCTATGAATGTTTCCTTGCAACAAGAGTATAAGTCAGTCCTCTCTTTGGGGCATGAAGTCCCTCGAAATTCACGGTATACTTCACACACTGCCATCTTTATTCAGCATTCCTGTTTTGCACAAGCACTTTAGTAATACACCTGCAGCTGTGGTCTTGACAGGTCTTAAAATAAAATCAAGAGTTCTCTTTGTCTGAGACTGAGAAAAGGAAGAGTAAAAATGTGATGGAGAGCAGACTGGGACGTTCAAAAAGTGGTCTTGAGACCAAGAGTGATCTGGACTACTACAACACTGCTACATTCAGTAGCAAAACAGAAAGATGCCCACAGGAGTGGTATAAGTGGGCACAGACAGCTTTGTTTACTTACTGTACGAGTGCATCACTTAGCCAGACTCCTCGCTCATTTGCAAGTGTCCCTGGCATGTTTTGAAGCTCTAAACCAACTCTCAGCGCTCCTTTGTCTTATTGTGAAAATACAACACACACATAAACCCTTCCTCATGCTCTGAAACCTGCAAAGAACACAGAGGGCATGTTGGGACAGCACATTCAGGAGGCCTCCGATTCATCACGGTGGCTTTATTTTGAAGGGCTGGGGGATTGGGCAGGGACGGCAGACATGACAGTCTTATCCCCTCGGCCCAGAGTGGAAGTGATGTCTCTGTCAGAGATGAATCACAGCGGTTCTCCAGAGGG